AAACATCATAATATAGTATGGCATAAAATGTCAAAAAACGTCATAGTATAATATGGCATAAAATGTCAAAAAAGCATCATGGTATATTAAGGCATAAAAGGTCATAAAAACGTCATAGCATTGTCAGGCATCAAACGACATAGTATAGTAAGGCATAAAAATATCTACAAACATCAGAGTATAGTATGGCATAAAATGGAAAAAAACGTCATAGTATAGTATGGCATAAAATGTCAAAAAAACATCATAGTATATTAAGGCATAAAAGGTCATATAAACGTCATAGTATGGCAAGGAATGAGACGAAATAATATTATTATGCCTAAAAATGATGAAAAATGTAAAAGTATAGTATGGCAAAAAAATGTCAAAAAACGTCATAGTATAGTATGGCATAAAATGTCAAAAAAACATCATAGTATATCAAGGCATAAAAGGTCATAAAAATGTCATAGCATTGTAAGGCATCAAACAACATAGTATAGTAAGGCATAAAAATGCTAAAAAACATCTAAGTATAGTATGGCATAAAATGTCAAAAAAACATCACAGTATATTAAGGCATAAAAGGTCATATACACGTCATAGTATGGCAAGGAATGAGACGAAATAATATTATTATGCCTAAAAATGATGAAAAATGTAAAAGTATAGTATGGCAAAAAAATGTCAAAAAACGTCATAGTATAGTATGGCATAAAATGTCAAAAAAACATCATAGTATATCAAGGCATAAAAGGTCATAAAAATGTCATAGCATTGTAAGGCATCAAACGACATAGTATAGTAAGGCATAAAAATGCTAAAAAACATCTAAGTATAGTATGGCATAAAATGTCAAAAAAACATCATAGTATATTAAGGCATAAAAGGTCATAAAAATGTCATAGCATTGTAAGGCATCAAACGACATAGTATAGTAAGGCATAAAAATATCTACAAACATCAGAGTATAGTATGGCATAAAATGGAAAAAAACGTCATAGTATAATATGGCATAAAATGTCAAAAAAACATCATAGTATATTAAGGCATAAAAGGTCATATAAACGTCATAGTATAGCAAGGAATGAGACGAAATAATGTTATTATGCCTAAAAATGATGAAAAATGTAAAAGTATATTATGGCAAAAAAATGTCAAAAAACGTCATAGTATAGTATGGCATAAAATGTCAAAAAAACATCATAGTATATCAAGGCACAAAAGGTCATAAAAATGTCATAGCATTGTAAGGCATCAAACGACATAGTATAGTAAGGCATAAAAATGCTAAAAAACATCGAAGTATAGTATGGGATAAAATGTCAAAAAGACATTATAGTATATTTAGGCATAAAAGGTCATAAAAATGTCATAGCATTTTAAGGCATCAAACGACATAGTATAGTAAGGCATAAAAATATCTACAAACATCAGAGTATAGTACGGCATAAAATGTAAAAAAACGTCATAGTATAGTATGGCATAAAATGTCAAAAAAACATCATAGTATATTAAGGCATAAAAGGTCATATCAACGTCATAGTATGGCAAGGCATGAGACGAAATAATATTATTATGCCTAAAAATGCTGAAAAATATCATAGTATAGTATGGCATAAAAATGTCAAAAAATGTCATAGTATAGTATGGCATAAAATGTCAAAAAAAACATCATAGTATATTAAGGCATAAAAGGTCATATAAACGTCATAGTACGGCAAGGCATGAGACGAAATAATATTATTATGCCTAAAAATGATGAAAAATATCATAGTATAGTATGGCATAAAAATGTCAAAAAATGTCATAGTATAGTATGGCATAAAATGTCAAAAAAAACATCATAGTATATTAAGGCATAAAAGGTCATATAAACGTCATAGTACGGCAAGGCATGAGACGAAATAATATTATTATGCCTAAAAATGCTGAAACATGTCAAAGTATAGTATGGCATAAAAATGTCAAAAAACGTCATAGTATAGTATGGCATAAAATGTCAAAAAAACATCATATTATATTATATTAAGGCATAAAAGAACATAAAAACGTCATAGTATTGTAAGGCATCAAACGACATAGTATAGTATGGCATAAAAATATCTATAAACATCAGAGTATAGTATGGCATAAAATGTAAAAAAAACGTTATAGTATAGTATGGCATAAAATGTCAAAAAAACATCATAGTATATTAAGGCATAAAAAGTCATATAAACCTCATAGTATGGCAAGGCATGAGACGAAATAATATTATTATGCCTAAAAATGATGAAAAATGTCATAGTATAGTATGGCATAAAAATGTCAAAAAATGTCATAGTATAGTATGGCATAAAATGTCAAAAAAACATCATAGTATATTAAGGCATAAAAGGTCATATAAATGTCATAGTATGGTAAGACATGAGATGAAATAATATTAATAGGCATAAAAATGCTGAAAAATGTAAAAGTATTGTATTGTAGAAAAATGCCAAAAAAACGTCATAGTATAGTGTGGTATAAAAGGTCATAAAAACCTCATAGTATGGTAAGGCATCAAACAACATAGTATAGTATGGCATAAAAAAATATCTACAAAGAACATAGTATAGTATGGCATAAAATGTCAAAAAACTTCGTGGTATAGTATGGCATAAAAATGCCAAAAAAAGTCATAGTATGGCAAGGCATGAGACAAAATAATATTATTAGGCATAAAAATACCAAAAAAATGTCAAAGCATAGTATGGCAGAAAAATGCTAAATAAATGTTATAGTATAATATGGCATAAAAGTTCATAAAAACATCATAGTATGGTAATGCATCAAACGACATAGTATAGTACATCATGAAAAATCCAAAAAACATCTAAGTATAGTATGGCATCAAATGCCAAAAAACGTCATAGTATAGTATGGCATAAAACATCAAAAAAGCATCATAGTATATTAAGGCATAAAAGGTCACATAAATGTCATAGTATGGCAAGGCATGAGAGGAAATAATATTATTAGGCATAAAAATGCTGAAAAATGTCAAAGTATAGTATGGTAGAAAAATGCCAAAAAAACGTCATAGTATAGTGTGGCATAAAAGTTCATAAAAAAGTCATAGCATGGTAAGGCATCAAACGACATAGTATAGTAAGGCATGAAAATTCCAAAAAAACATTTAAGTATAATAAGGCATAAAAGGTCATATAAACTTTATAGTATGGCAAGGTATAAGACGATATAATATAGTATGGCATAAAAATACCAAAAAACGTCACAGTATAATATGGCATAAAAGGTCATAAAAACGGTAACGGTAATAATATGGTAAGGCATCAGACGACATGGTATATCAAGGCATAAATTGTCATATAAACGCCATATTATAGTAAGGCAAAAAGTGTCATGAAAACATCTTAGTATAGTAACTCATGAAATGCCATAGTATATTAAGGCATAAAATGTCATAAAAATGTTATAATATATTAAGGCATAAAATGTCATAAATATGTTATAATATATTAAGGCATAAAATGTCATAAATATGTTATAATATATTAAGGCATAAAATGTCATAAATATGTTATAATATATTAAGGCATAAAATGTCATAAATATGTCATACTATAGTAAGAAATAAAATGGCATCAGAATCAGAATCAGAATCAGAATCTCTTTATTTGCCAAATGTACACAGCACAGGAATTTAACTTGGTGAGAACAGCGCAAGAGGGTAGAAACAAGCAAAAACACATAATCAAAATTACATAAAAAAAATTAAAGATAAGAAATAATTACAATCATACTGTACGTTATTGCACTGTTAAATGTTACGTGTTTCGATTTGAGTTCAGTTGTATTGCACAATTTTTTTTTTCTTTGGGGGGGAGGGGTGCAAATAGGTGACTAGGTTGGATTGTTGAGGAGAGTGATGGCACCCGGGAAAAAACTATTCCCGTGTCTTGTGGTCCTGGTCCTGATGGAGCAGAACCTATGGCTGGAGGTGCAGTCGTTGGTGAACAGGGACAAAAGATATGGGGAGAGGACACAGGCTTGCGGAGCTCCATTGTTGGTGGTGAGGGAGGCAGACATGTGGGGGCCAAGCCATACCTGCTGCTTCCTGTTATATAGTGTAGTATGGCATAAAATGTCAAAAAAGCATCATAGTATATCAAGGCATAAAAGGTCATAAAAACATCATAGTATGGTAAGGCATCAAACAACAGTATAGTATGGCATAAAAATATCAAAAAACATCATAGTAATGTATGTCATAAAAATGCCAAAAAACGTCATAGTACAGTAAGGCATCAAACATCATAATATAGTAAGGCAGAAAATCTCATAAAAATGTCATGGTATAGTAAGGCATAAAATGTCATAAAAACCTCATAATATAGTGAAGCAAAAAGTGTCAGAAAAACATCATCATATAGTAAGGCATACAATATCATAAAAACGTCATAATATAGTAAGGCATAAAAATGTCATATTACTGTAAGGCATAAAATGTCATACAAAAAGTCATAGTATAATAAGGCATAAAATGTCATAGTTTAGTAAGGAATAAAATGTCACAAAAACATCATAGGATAATAGGGCATAAAATAAGACATAATATTCATGGTTAGATTTACTTTTATAGATCCACCATTTTATGTTTGGTTCCGCTAGCAACCTGACTGCTAGCCTACTGAAGACCAAAGCGATGGTTTGCTTGCTAGTTAACACTAGTTAACATGGTTAAATAACAGGGCATATTGGATTGATCTAATATGACTTCACTCAAAACATTTTATTTTATTATTGCTTGTCTATATGCAAACCTACGCCCTTGGATTTTACTTCAGGAACCACTGAATGCCCAGAATGCCACCTTTTGTTCTCCCATTTAGATTTAGTTTCTTTCTCACCCAGACACACATAAGCCCTGAAAACACAAGAGTGGCGTGCAGACAGAGACACACTATCACATGATTCCCTCTGAGATCCTTCACCTTACCCCAATAAGGCCTGCTGCCAGACTCTGGAATGAATTCCTCTGCTGTGTGAGTGTGAGCTGACTGGTGACACCGGCAGCCTGGAGAAGGAGGGATAAAGATAGACAGCGGGTGAGGTGGTTGAGTGGGTATGAAGAAGGGGAGGAAGGGAGGGAGGGGTGCAAGAAGTGAAGAAGAATCTGGGGAAAAAGAGAGGACATAACCTGAGAGGAAGATATAGGGTGAGTAATGAGATTAGCTATTTTTGCCTAAAGAAAGGAGAGATGGCATGAGGAAGTGGTGGGTTGCTGAAGATAGACCGTGAAGAGATGCAGATCAAATCACGCGCTCTTACTTTACCTCTTTCTCTAAGTGGCCATAAAAAGACATTTCAACTCCACAGACAAGAGAGTACAAGACCTGAGCGAAGGACAGAGAGACAAATGTCAAACCAATCAGAATCTGCTGCTGCTGTGACACACACATTACATATTATATATTTACATTTAAATTTATAAACACACAATTCAATGAGACAATTTGCAACACACTTGCATTTTTGATTAAAGTGGCATCGGTCATTCCAGAGATCACCCGACAATCAAATAGTCCATTGTTCAACTTCATTTTTCAGCTCAGTGTTTGTTTCTGCTGATGGGACTTATTTGTTTGTCTGTTTAGTCATGGTTGCTCTCACTGGTCACCATGGCAACCCAGTTCTTTTCTCAAAGCAGAAATGTATCACATCCTGAGTAAAGATTTGGTTATGTAGGGACAACTCACAAGGCTAGTTGGTGACCCACTGTAGCTGGCAAGCTAACATACTAGCAAGCCACAAACATGCCAGTCAGTCACAGTTGGTCTCCTTGATTCTTACTTCTTACGATTACATTATTTCATTAACCAAAGAGTGATTGAAGGGGGAAGCTAACTATCTGTTTGATTTCTTCTCAGTTAGTGAGCTCGTTAGCAACTGAGCTAACCAGACAATAAGTTTGGACAGTTTTTTCAGAAGACATTCTGCATTTGTACGATTGACTCCTGTCTAAATTAGTTATAGTTACACAAAACACTGAGGAGAATTAAGTAGGGTAATTTGAGTAAAAGTGTCATGGATTGTACTAATGTGTGACAGTTGAGATAGAATTGCATATGAGAAACAGTGCTGTCATTTGTCCTCTTTGTCACCTGCACACTGTTCTTGTCATTAGTCTGTTTAATTTAGAGCTCTTGTTTATATGACCCCTGGAGCAAAGTCTAACTCGGAAATGCAGAGACACGTGAACGCAAGCACGTCTAAATAGTCAAATGTGTATTTACACGCACCGTACAAAAACAGTATACACACACACACACACACACACACACACACACACACACACACACACACACACACACACACACTCTTCAAGGAAGAAAGTAAAGTCACTGTTTGACATCAGCACAAAAGCGATGTCTTCACACCTCCTTGTTTGATTTAGGACAAGGCTTTCCACTGGTTAACTGTCATACTATAGTAAAGACCCCTCTCTTGGTCAATCCACCCAGTGTCAATGATGTGGCCGGTCCGAGCTGGATGTCTTTGTCCCCACAGTCTTCTGTTTCGTTCATTGTCCCTGTTTGGATGCTGGTGGGAAGGGCGTATGCAGAGGAGGCAAAGCAGATGTCAGTGTGAGGATGAATAGTGCCCTGAGGGGAGGGAGAGAGATAGCTGGTATCGTCTGTATACCCTGGAGACACACATGGGCAAGGCAGGGATCTGTTTCAAAGAGGAATCAGCTCGTCCTTGGCTTTTGAATGAGGCACACACTCACAAGGAACACAGGGATACTAATATAGCGGAAACCCAACGGAAAAACACTGGAGTACTGCACAGCTGTGGTTCTCAGTTACACAGATCATAAAATATTTGGTTGTGGACACATTTGATAAGAGTGGAAAAAATTCAGTTGTTGTGTTTCTGCATTCACGAATGGTGACAAAACAGCAAAATAAAACTAGTCTTCTTTTTGCTGGTGATGCCTAGCAACACTCTTCGCCCCTGCACCTGACTTTGAGAAGCGGTGAAGTACCCTAAAGACACACAAAGCCCAGTGTGAGGTGCACTCGCAAAAGGCTGTGTGACTTATGCAGCTGCAGCATTGCTTTTGTCCTTTAAGTAGAATAGCATAAACACACACACACACACACACACACACACACACACACACACACACACACACACACACACATACACACTCACACTCTGCAGGAGGGCTACCCTGTCATCTCACTGGCAATAAAGCGGGTCCCAGATGTCTGCCTCCCCCTGTTAGCAGACACACAAGCTCACACTGTCACTCACCAGGCCTTTGTTCTCAGACAGCAACATATTGCTTGTATACAAGGTTCAGAGTCAGTGGACATAAATGTTGTCACAGACTCAGAGGACAGAAGTTTGCTACAGGACAGAGGACAGAGGAGAGAGGACGCCGAACCAAAAAATGAAATATCAATTTATGTTCGTCATTTTGTTAGAAATTCAGTTAATAACTTTAAATAGACTGATCCATGTCAGCAGTTTATCATAGCGTCAGACTAAATTAAGTACTCTCCTTCCATGGTAATCAGCCACACCTTCTGGAACTTTCTACCTAATCAAGCCATCTCTATCGGGTGACCTCTGTTGCTATGTGAGTGGGAGGGCAGGGCAGAAAATATTACACTGCTGTTTCATCAGTGCCAAGCTGAAACTCCAGTGCAAGTCTTAGACGACAATTTGATGATATTCTGACATGTGTTGCAATAGACTTTGAATGGAGTGAATAGTGATTGATTCATTATAGTAAGAAAATATTTATGATCACATCTTACGTTTCTTTTATATGAAATTTCAATGTTCATTCCCATAATTTAGCCTCCAGGATATTTTGAAATAAACTTTTTTAAAAGCATTTATGGGCATATTTGTGTAAAAATCACCAACAGCAATCAAATGTAATATCAAAGGGAGAAGTTTGAACACAACCACAGCCTCTGCAATCCACTTCTTATTTTTAAGAGATGAAAAACGTGTCAAAACATCTTGCTCAAATGAGTCATTGCATAGTCTGTCCAAGGAGGATTGCAAAATCTTGTTAAATCTGGACCACTTGTTCTTTGTGTGTTGCTGTTGGATGGTTCTTCATTCACTTCCCCCCATGATGATATTTTCACACAAAACAACACCACACTGCGCCATTTAGTCAGGCACACCCTGGGAATCTTTGAACCTGCTTCCACGGAGATCGAACAGGGAACTTGAGAAATACGCACTTCAGAGAATTTTCTACACAAAATCTGCCCGTGGCATTGTAGGAGGCCGGGCCTAAATCTGACTGAAATCTCACATTGTAGCTCACGCTGACAGCCAGTCATTTAAAACTACAACATCCACACACCCCAGCTGCCGAGGCCTCGTGTTAGCCAGTGTTTGGAGAGGTAAAACCCGAGTTAAACATAAGCCCAGTCACCTTCCCTCTCGGTGCACTCCACCACCACCCCCCCCACGCCCTCGGCTCCTGCTAAACCAGCTCTTCTCGCTCCCTCCTTTGTCTATGTGTCAAAATGAGCCAAATGTTTTTCTTTTTCCTCTTGCTGCTAAGCAACCTAGGGGATTCAGAACGCTGCAAAGGATTGCAGTCTTAATCCAAACCCTGGGTTTTGCAGAGTCAGCTGGTTCGGGTGCAGCAGTATTGTGCATTTCAGTGCCCTGGCCGAGTTAGCACTTTTTTTTTTCTGAGTTTTTGATAGAATCCTTGCTAACGGTACCATCTGTCACATCCTATCATTTAATAGGTGGAAGCACTGGCAGCTCCATTTGGATCGAAACTAGAACACTGAGTTTTATTCCAAGTGTCCGAAAACAACATGGGCCTGAGCGTTTGGATGTGAAGTGATTGGATTTGCTGATCAGGGCAGGCAGCAGGCCTTTTAAGGGAAAGCAGCAAACAGCTTATGAAATGTTCCACAGTTCCTCCCAAAATATGGAGCTGCATCAACATCACTGAGTCATCCAGTTCTTTGGTGAAGCAGATTTTCTCACTTTGCATGTTTAAATACAAAATTATGGCACCATTTGAGCATATTTTTTTTTTTTTTTTTTTTTTTTTTTTTATAAATCAAATTCAGCAGCAAGCTACAGTCAGCTCTGTGGTAGGATCATGTGCTTATAATATCTGAAATCTCTTTATACGTGAAGTGCAGTTTACTGTCCAAACAGAGGGACAAATGTGAGTGAGGCAGGAGAATTGCTGACTTGATCTCCTCTCCAGTCCTCTGCACAGATGGTGCAGTCAGTCCTCAAAGACTGGGAGGTCAAATTCCAATCTAGGCCACCACATCAGGGTTTAGGTTTGTGGAGCTCTTAATGTACACAATATAGTTTACAAATACAAAATGCAAGTAGATTTCCCTGACTTCTTTTATGTGGAACTGTAAAGCTGAGACTTATTAAAACTGAACGGTAAGTAAATAATGACACAGCTCAAAGGGGAATATGATGCCAAGATAGGAAATCTTTTATTACAGAGAAAAAAAAAAAAAAAACTTTTCTTCCAAAATATAGAAATCTGTACAACTTCCGCACAATCAATTTACATGAACTGTACAAATTTACAGCAGTTCATCACAACATACCCAAGGAAAAGAAACTGAACACAATAAAGATGTACTGACATGAGATCACAAGATAGACAGCTTTTCTTCTTGGGTAAGCTCAGATTTTTTTGTCTATTTTCTGGTTTTGTACGTAAATAGAAAAAAAAGGAGAAAAAAATGAAAAGAAAAGAAAAGAAAAAAAATCAAAAACAAAGGATACGTCTACACTTACAGATCATGGAAACTAATATTTTTTACCAAAACAACTTTGGTCCTTGCCAACACTCCCATCACAAATGGCTTCACTTACGAAAAGCATTATCCATGTTAAAAGATGAAATACAAAAAAGGAATACATCTAAAAACACCTCAGGATAGCAATTATTGGCACTTCCCATGTGTAATGTTATGCACTCTACCATTTGTTGTACAGATACAATACATTCTACAATATGTAAAACACCTTAAATGTGAAAGTGGCAATAATTCAACTAAATCGATGACAATATTGACGACAACAACAACAACAAAACTGCTGTTCCCTTCCTGTTTCATGTCTTAACATGCACAACTTTTCCATAAGGGTATTTATTGAATGTCCGAGGCCTGAGTTTGGCAATACATTCCAGGAGAGACTCCTCGCGTCTCAAAAAAATGTCACACAACTTCAACTTGACATATTTAGTGCATTTTATGTGCTATTTTTACCTCTGACTATTCAAAGCACTCCACGACAATTCTGTAACCTATGTGCGCACAAGCTGAATGGATGCCATTTAAATAATCAATATTACTGCGGACTTAAACCATTTCGGATGGTGGTAGTACAGTTGAGAAGGTGTCGAAGGGGATTTTGGGTTTCATTTTTTGAATTTTATTTTTTTTGTAGCTCTAAAAACAACGTTTGTTAAAAAGTGGGTTAGATCACCAGACTAAAAATCCTCTTAGAAAGAGGATAAAGAGGAGAAAATGGGGATGGCAGAGTGGAAAGATGAGAAAATCTACCAGTGTGACCATAAAATACATCTAGAGAAAAGTGAGACGAGATGATCATCCCGCGTCCGAAATATAGACCAATCTCAAAACATCTTGTCACATGACATAAAAAAGCTATAATGGAGCAGTGTGATTTTAAAACTGGTGTCCACAATGGAAACCAAAGCTCTGGGCTCCCTTCCCAGCGAGCTCCTCTCCATCTGGCCAACATGGAACCACTGCTTTTCACAGATTGCTGAAGGGAGTATCAGCAGAGAGCAGGGGAGGGAGGGGGAGGGGGGGAGTTAGGGGGATGCAGTGCGTCAAAGGCTAGCTCTATTACCCATGATCCTCTCAGGCTTAGGGGAGCTTAAACACCCATAGGTCTGGTGATGAGTGGTGAACCAGCCTGCCATGACAGATTTGGCCGGCAGCTAAGGCCCGAGTGACACCGGTAGCCGTCCCCGCATCTGGTCCAGGCTGCTGTTAACCACTCAACCCCAGAACCAGGAGTGAAGTGGGGGTACGTCAGACAGCCATCACATCCTTTCATATGCATGTAAACAGTTGCTACTCAAACTCAGTAATCAAGTGCAGCGCAATCCAGTGAGATGAAAACTGAAAACAATGGCCTAGTACCCTCAATTCTTCATCTTTGATCCATGTTTCCTCGTCTCTCACTAGCCCCCCTAGTGCAGCTTGAGCACGCCAAGTGCGTGTGCTGGTTTTTATCCATCACTGCTGAGGGAGGGTTGAGGGCTTCTGGTCAGGGTGGGGGATGTTGAATAAGTCCAGAGGGTGGGGGGGGGCTGGAGGGATTTTAGCTGCCCTGGACAAAAAGAGTCCGGCCCTGGTCCCCCCCCCCACCTTCTCTCACACCAGCTCCCCATCCCCGCCTTCCTTACCCAGCTCCCCGCGGTGATGGATGATGATATGTGTCACATTAAGTCTACCTGCATCCACAGGGGGTCAGCTAGCAGCATGCTGGCTTGCTTTTGGCTGAACAGGAGGTCTGAGCTGAGGGGTGATATGTGGCACTTGAGGCACTCTAACCCCCACGCCGGGAGGGGCGGGGGGTTGGGGTTTGAAGCTGCCAGGCTGGAAAGAGGACACCTCCAGTGTGGGTCCAGGCAGCACAATGCACCAGGCCCGCTCACATAAGCCTGATATTAAGTTTAAAAATCACGAATGGCTCATAATTCATGACAATGAGGTCTCTGTAAGGCAATGCACCTCCAATGCACACAAAAGGATAAGTCTCTCCCTTTTACAAGACCTTGGAAATAGCTAATGCAAGTGAAAATAGAAGGCTGACATGGCCTGGTGTTGTTTTTAATTCAAGTTAAAATTAATCTCTGAACAGTCGGCGCTCCAGACCTCCCTTTGGCCAAAGTCTCACACAGTCATCACTTAGTCCAGACCTTTCAGACTAACTTTTTTTTTTTCCTATCAGCAACACAAATCACCATCTGTGTGTGTCTGGGGGGGTGGATGGGTGGGTGGGTGTGGTGGGGGTGTGTGAGGGGGGGGTGGGCAAGCTTAGCTCTGCATCCTGCCAGAGCGAAACAGTGCCATATGAACGGATGACAGAACGTTTCTAACATACCACCAAAAATACTCTCCACCTAAAAATCAACAGCTCTGAAATGTTCACAAATACAGTGTAAAAAAGGTTTTGAAATCCAGAGTTGCACACTCCCGATTTAATAGACAGTTAGTCTATCCCAACGTGGGAGCTACAGTATGAACAAACGGCTAAAAAATGGGCAGGGTAGTAAAAGCGGTGTGAAAACATGACATTCGAATGGATGGAATGCAGGCGATTTTCTCTAAAAAGTACACATCCCACACAATCTCACGTCAAAGTGCATTCAATGTCAATTCTAACAGGGCCACGTGACCAAAATTTGGGTAAAATAGGCCCCCCCTTTTTTGCTACACTTTGAATTTTGGTGATGTAGGAGATGACAAAGTGGTGGGGGAAAAGGGGGCAAAAATTAACAACACAGGAACTTGATTGTGAATTTCAACAACATTCATTAACTAGGGGGAGGGGGGAAGGAGACGGGTCCCTGGCCCTCCCCCAGAAAGCTACACATACATAGGTGATGGGAGGGCGACAGTGCAACGGGACACACTGGTATCCATAGGTAACAGGTGTCACAACACATTCCACTAGCACTTACATACGGGCCGAGACGAGGTTGAGATGAAGGTTTTCTGAAGCTCGTGATGATGGTAGAAGGGGGAGGAGGAGAAGTTCAGACTGAACGCCTTTCTCCAGCTACAAGATAAAGAAAACTCATTCCCTGTGGTCCAAAAAGGTGTTTTTATAGAAAATAGAGATGCTCTTATTGGGCGTTTCTTTAACTTGAGCTCGGAATGTGAAAGGCACAGTCTGAACCTCGACTTCCTCTCCAGCCAGGAAACAAAACAAATGAAAAACAGCAAATTGAAAAACCTCTGGAATTTGAAGGGGTAGTTCCCGGTAAAAAAAAAAAAATCCTTACAATTTAGGTTTTGGTGTTTTTGCGGTGGTGTGTTGAACATGTACCCATAGTTACCACAAGTAAGAAAAGTGCAAAGTCAATGATAGCCCCTTCAGAGATGGAGCTGATCACCATGTTGTTTACAGTCGAGGGGGGGGAGGAGCCAGTCTCCATGGGGGTTCCTGTTTGGATGGTTGGTTTAGCTGCCCCAACAGTTCCATTTCCACAAATGCCTCTCCTAAAAAAACGGAGTGCCCAGCTGATCCAATGACACAACAGAACAGATGACAATGGGGAGAGAGGGTAAAAAATATCAAACCTACAAGGTTTCCATCACCTGGACGATAGGCCACATCCTCTGTTTTTTTTTTCTTTTTCTTTTCTCTTCTTTCACTATTTCATTTCATATTCTTAGCTTTAAAAAGGCTCACCCTGATCTGGTCACATGATCTGACCAAGCATGGCGTGACCCTGAACAAAAGTAGGCCGGGGTGACGGTGTGCCTCTTTAACTGGACACAGTCATCATATTGTAGGCTTTGGAGGGACTGGTTCTGCCCAGCACCATCAGTTCCTCCTTGCAGCTGATGTGACTGTCCACCATGGGGCTCACCGACCCGCTGTTTCCTGAGGGGGAGCTGGCGGTGGCGGCCATCGGCATTCCTACGGGGCCGGGCTGGGACTCGTACAGGACGCAGATGGAGCCGTCCTCGCCGATGCGGTAGGACACCTCGAAAGGGTCCACCCAGAGTGTGAGCTCACTGGGCAGCAGCAGGTAGAGTTGCTGGATGGTCAGGCCGATGCGCTGGCCTGCCTGCCACACCAGTGGGTCCATCTTGTGGTTAATGCGGATGCAGCGGTAACCTGAACCCTTGCAGGGCCTGTCTGGGAACCAGTGGTGCTTATATTGCTCTGCAGGAAACACAGAAGAGAGAGAGAGAGGGAGAGAGAGAGAGAGAGAGAGAGAGGGGAGAGAAAGTTTAGCTTTGAGAGATAATCATCAGACTGTTTGCTCTGACACGTAGTGTGGGAGCAAGAACATGTCACAGGCGCTGATAAAGGCCCAGAGAAGAGGGGCCATGAAGAAAATATTCATTACGTTGCTGTATGTGACTACAGACGTCATTTGTGGCTGCGCAGGAGAGATCTGTAGTTAACTTGAGTTGACCAAAGGTCAAAAACACAAAAGCAGACAGGCTGTGCTTTGTGTTAGATAAGTCCACGTGTTTTAATAAGCATAATGTGGCTGTAAAAAACTGTTCATGCAAAACGGGAACATCATAAAAGTAAAGAAAAACTGTGAACCCTGGGATAGAACCTGAATTATATTATTTTAAAATCATTTTTGAATTTATCAAAAAGGGTTAGATAAATTTAATCTCAGATAAAACATGACTGCCTGAGGTTTGACTGTGTGTACTTTTGGGTTGTTCCCAAATATTAAACAAGAGTACAGGCTTAATGATTAAGAGAAGTAGATCTTAATCTCACGTTGTTTTTGCCAGAGGGTGATTTCAGTAGTCGTAAAACTAGATGGGCTCAGACTTGTCAAAATAAAATCATCAACTACATCATTATGCAAAAAGTATTAACTCTAACTTTCTACTGATTTATGGATATTGAGAAATCTTTTGTCTCATAAACAAAATCTTTATAAGCCATTTACTTTGTAATAAGAGGCTGTTCCCTCTGGATGTTTAACCAAAGGCAGATTGAGCCTATAGCTTATCAAAATCAACCAAGTGGACTTATTTACACTGAAGTACAGGGCGTAGTTGTGTGTGGTTGCAAAAGAAAGGAAAGAAAAACACCACCACCTGTTACAGGCCTGATAAGCAGCCATAAACAGGCGGCCAGCGGCTCCCGCGGCCTACGTGACAAAAAAGAAGGCCGCTGAATTGCACAATCCCTCCCCTGGCTGCCGTCAGTGTCACAAAGTCTCCCACGACTGGCTGAACAAAAACACCACAAGTGTTGAAGGCCGGCCAGCCATCTGAGACACATGGCTCCGCCTCTTAAAGGGAGAGGGGCTCTTTTTTTTTTTTTCTCCCCTCAACTGTGTGGAAGTTTTGGAAGTGCAGTGAAACTAGTGATTCACAGTGACGCCACTCAGAGTACGCTTCAGGCATTTTAGTGGTTAAGATGATGAGCGGAAAATTAAACTGTTGACTGTCGGATTCGGACTGTACGAGGAAGTGAAATATGGCTCATTCCTTCCCTGCAAGTTCACTTTTGGCGCAGAAGAACACTTTCCAATCTTTTTCATAGGATATTTTCGATCTTTTGTTCTGACCTTTTCATTTAATCGACCTCCCCGCTTTAAGGAGCACACCTACCCCTCATTTACCCCGACAGGGCTCATCCATATTGAATTCCCATTGATGGTAACTGCATTGTAGACGATGAAAGACAGGGTGAAGTGAAGTAGGCCAGCATTCAAGCCAGGGCCCGGAGGCCACCTGTATGCATCTACAGGATAATAACCCCCCGTGCCCCCTCCTGCCGTGTCTTATCACAGAAGGCTGTATACTGCTGAGCTAATGGAGGGGCTGGCACTCGTGAAAGAGCACAAGGGGCTGGATGATCTTTCAGCCTCGGACTGAGCCACAAAAGGCAGCTACCTACAAACCCTGGAGCAGCTGGGAAAGGATCAGCTCAGCGGGGCCTATTCTTAAAATCCAGGGCACAGGGAAGGGGGGGGGGGCAGGATATGGGAAACGGAAAAGTAAGCAGACAAGTGTGCGCTTAACCCTAAAGAGTTTAACGAAAGTGGGTTGTTTATTCACTGGAGCTGACCTCGAACTCTAGAAATACATCAAGCAAGCTGATTTTGGCCCAGCTTCTGGGTCGTTGGATATTTTCCATTCGAAGTCCGTTTGCTGGGATAGTAAATCACAAGAAGAACTGAAACGCTGCTCAGTACAATTACACAACTATCACGGTTTTAGTCTGGTCACTGGGACTAATTTCCCCGCTTCCCTTCGCTCAGCACAAACACGAGGAGCTGGGCACCCAGCTTTTCAACGCGCAGACACAATAGTGGGTGATTGTGATGTTTCCAAGCACAAAAGAGCTCTGGCTGGCCTAGTTTAGTAGCAGCGAGCCCCACAGGCTACAACCACACACTCACTTTTGTTTTCACACATTTGCCTCGTGCTCAAAATGGACTTCGTGGAAGACACCGTTCTTCATTTAATTAGATTATAATCAGCTATACAGTATTTTGTTTTTAACAACAGTCGTTCAAGAAGTCAATCTGAGGGATGGCAGATTAAATCTTATAATTTGTAGCATTTTAATATAATTCATGTTTATATCCACTAAATACAGGGTGTGTTAACTGTGTTTCAGTGGATTTCCCCTGCATTTCCTGCCTGATTACGCTGCGCTGCCTCCGTCTTTAATGTCCTCCTATAGGCGCTCACCAAAACATCCCCTCCCCCCACAGGCAGGCCTCCCACCCGACTCCATTCAGCTCCCAACTTTTGTCTGTTTACAAACACCACCGTCGAGATTCAGCGCTCACAAATGTTTTTTTCTTTTACTAAATGTAACTCTTGATTTAAAACACCAGTTTCTCAACAACAAAAGAAAAACAACACAATGATAAATCATTTAGCTCAGGCATTTAGCAAGACGCCAACAATTAACTGCAGTTTGACTGTAGCACCAAATGGCGAGTTTTAGGCTCCTTGTAAAGCTCTATTGTTCTTATAGGCTTTTGTAAAAAAAAACATTTATATTCTTATTATATAAATGTTTGTATTATGCTCTAAAACTTATGCAATTTTTGCTGTTCTTTTGTCTATGCCAATGGTCGTATTTATGTACTTCCCTTATGCATTAGACACTTTACTGAAAAACAAAATACCAGCAAACTGAGACGTGTTTTTGAATAAGTGAGGCCCTTGTGTAGGAAATGTAGGTCATCTGCTGCTGTAGATGGTGCGAGGCAGATGTATGGCAGCTTTAGAGCCCTGAGACTGGAATGTGTTTACAGCAGGAAATGAGAGACAATCCTCCAAGCAGCACTAATCTGTAAAAACTCCCATAATACTCGCTTAAATTCAAAATTGAACCTGGGGGTGAAACTACAGCTCGATTTCCTGGGAAATAAACGGAGAAAAAATAAACTGATTTGATTCGACTTCCGTTCATTGTTGCCAGTCGGTGTATTGTTTGTGAGCCATTTTAATGAATGGATCATGTGGTAAAAAGTGAAATTCACCTGTTAACCACATAAATACCAGAAAGGAACATCGAATTGTGTGCAACAAGATGAAAAACTCATCATTGAAACGCACAAAAGTTGCAAAATACGATGTTTTCAATGGAGGTTTTGTGTTTAAAATAAAATAAACGACATGTTTTTAGTTTTAATGTTAACGTTTGGTCTGTGATTGGACATGTTTTCATTATAAACCTATTTCGTCTTACGCATTACGTAATTGAGCAGCCTCTACCAACTCACTGGGGGCTGTTTTGCTCCATTCTTTGAGAGCTCTATCGACCGAGGTGCACTTCCTTGTTTGAGCCAAGCGTCTCTTTCCACCCCCACTCCTACTCATTTTCTTCCTCCAAACAAAGCAACAAATTAATCTTTCACCAAATACTGTTTCTTTGTTTCAGAAATCAGATTGTATCAATGTAATTGTCGACCGATCGTCTTCGATCAGCCAGTGTGTTTATACTTAGTCGTTTTTTCCCCCCCTCTCCGACGTGCGCAAACAGTGGTGCGCGGTGGTAGCGCTGATAGTGATACTTAGGAGAACAAAGAAAGGCTTCTTCTGACTCATTCTCAAACACATTACGAGCCGAATTTTAGCAGTTACTCATCAAACAAAACCCCAGACTTAACATGTGGGAGTGTAATGTATCATAGAGTGGTGTTGTGTGAGAGCTAATGGAGAATTTTCTGGTTTCCTTACCTGCCAAAATGTCCTGTAAGCTTTGGCTGAATGTTTGGACCTGTCGATCGTTTACGTGTCCTTTTACCCTCAGAAATCTCGACAGAAATCCGACGGCGGCGTTGATCTCTGGTTTCATCGTTCCCCGGGCACAAAGGGTATGCATTGAGAAAGGCAACGGCGACGATCCGTGCGCTTTTGTTGGGTTGTTTTTTTTTCTCTACGTGTTTGTCCGACTGTTCGTCTTTCTCTCCACTTCTGAGCAGCGATCCTTATCTGTTGGCGCTTGTCTTGTTTCTCTTGGCATTTATTAGTCGAGGTAGAGGGAAGCTTTTTTCAGAGAGAGTCCGTGCGCTAGGACGGTACAGTGTTGGGAAACAGGCGCCTGTTGTTGGTAAATACAGGGGGTTGGGGGGGGTCCCTTCGTGCCACGTTGACCAACCCTCCCTGCTCACTTTCCTCCGTCAGAGTGAAGCTCCCGGACTGGGGGAGCGGGCTTTTATAGCGCCCCCTCCCTCCCCACGGCGTCGACACAAGCTGCTACAGCAACAACAGCAACCAATCCCCGGGCCTGCCTCCGTCTGACGAGCCTCATATAGGAGGAGTGCAGCGTTCACGTCACCGCTCTGAAAATAAACAGAGGTACACAGCATGAAACCGCGCTGCCTTCACAGGCTGTCGGAAATACGGTTAGCAGTGGGGAAAAAAGAAAAGGAAACAAAAGCAAAAAACAACAAACAAAACAAATAAAATATCACATAATCTTGGTTGAAGAGGTTGGATTCTTTATTCGCAACTACAAACAGGATACACTACTTTACGAGTAGCTAGTAACTATGATTAATAGCGGTAATTGTGCCGTGTGAAAATTCTACTCCATAACACATCTAAGCGATAGTGTAGTTTACTGTAGGCCTATACAGTTTAGTTTGCCATATCTAAAAATCCAGTCCTTTTGATGGAACAACACACATGGAATAACACGCATCTCTGATTGCCGATCCAGTCGATTGGATCACCAGGTTGCCTATCGCTCTGCTAACTGTTCCCACTGTCCAAACTAAACACAGAGAAGCAGCATACCATACCACACACCTCCGAGCTCAGAAGACAGAAGAAGACTCAGCTTTGACTACCTTTAAAAGCCTTTTCCCTGAACCCGGAGCACTGGTCATTACCCAATTTGAGCTTACAACTTTATTTTCTATTTTTTTTTTCATTTTTACATTTCGGTTTCCATTCTTTTCATTTTTATCATAATATTTTCTGCTGTTTGTTTTTAATGTGCTTTGTAAAGCACCTTTGCATTGTGTTATGAACTTAAGTTGCCTTACGTTGAATTGATATTGTTGTAGATAAAAATGACAAATTATGTTTTTTAAAAAATCGAGTTTGCGTTAAAGTTTTATGCCACATTTACAGGGACAACGGGGTCAGGAAAAGAGAGCAAGACTGTTAACATTACCTTCCTTCAGTATATCACCTCAGTCACTGGTTCTTCTTGCTCTCTCTCTCTGTCATTGTGTGCGTGCGTGTGTGTGTGTGTGTGTGTGTGTGCAGGTGAGCACGTCTGTGGGTGTTCATTCACATGAAAGGGAAAGAGTCAATCAACAGGAAAAAAAAGCACATCTTGTGTGACCCTCGGTTTAACAAAACATTTTTGCCAGGTTTCTTGTCAGACGCCGGCCCCTACGTGCTCATTGAAATCAGTGGAAAAGTACAGGCTGCTGAGCTTTGTTTGTTGCAGACACAGTCGTGATGACCCGCTGAGTGCTCCAATCATGATGCAATCAAACAGACCAGCACCACACTGATTGGCTCAAGCACTGACCTAAAGGTGCAACAAACTGCACACAAAATGTAAACGTGTGTGTATACGTCTGTCTCCTGACTAAACGGACATGATGGTGTGTAGTGTGAGTTTTCACTGCTACTTCACATATGTTGTTTATTTGTGTCCCGTACACACGGTGGTTTTTCCTAAGGGACGGTTTAACATGCAGAGTGAAGCAGTGTGGGAAATAATGTAAAACAAGGCGTTCATTTTATGAATTTATGTTACTATGATGTTATTGCGAGGTTGAACATTTTTTTTATCATAATCAGATAATGATTACTTTTTGTTCAAATGTGCATGTTTATTTCCAGCAGGTTGCAGGTTCGGTGATGTTACATAATATACAATGATGTGCACAGTGATTTAATATAGGGAGAGACAGTAAAATTAAAGGTTTACTTACTGGATTTTCTTAAATTCTGTAGAAAATCTGTGAAATTTAGCATCAGTCAGACTGTCCTCTCATAACTAGTGAGTCATGTTCATACATGTCCAAACCATCACCTCTTTACCGCACACATTCATAGTCACAGTTTCGCCTGCAGTTACACACCACTTTGCTTTTCTTATGAAACAGTGGAGTGTTTCAGTTTGCCACAGATGGACCAGGCCATTTCTGTTTTTCTTTTTACACATGTAAATGAACGCACAGCTGCACAAGATGTGGTATGATACAGTTGAGAATTTCATTTTTCTTCAAATCATATAGGTTGAACTTTATACAGAGGTCTTCACATGGAAGCTGTGACTTTTCACATTACTCCCACATTCCTGTTCTAGTAGTCACATAGCAGTGGGATGAAATTTCTACTAGCCAAAGTATTACTGACCTAGTGCAGTGTAATATTCATGTTTGTATGAGATCATATGGGACTATTAGAGTCAATATGCATTAATGGTCCCATATGTTACACTTTTCCTGTGTTTTATTTGAGGTTTTTGACATCCATAAGAAAATATATTTGTGAATTTTAGTACCAAAAACAATCTTAATAGTTTTACATTTCCTCTCCCAGGCTTCTCTCAGGACCTCTAGCAACAACAGGTCAGAGAGCCAATCAGAAGAGAGGAGACTCTGAGTCTCTCTGATCGGCTGACTGTTTTCTGATCGATCAAATAAAATCCAGCAGATTTCAGGTAAACACTCATAGAAACCAAATCCTGCAAGGCTGGACAGTGCGTGCGAGTGCAGTGAGTGTTTTGTTGCACTTTGATACTTTCACAGTATTAATATAGAACCTAGATCTGCTTTGTCTCACTTTATACAAGATGGGGCCTTTAATATCAGAAAAGGGTTCTTTACTTTATTTGACATTTAGTTATTACAATTTGTGGGAGGAGACTTCATTCTCTTTTTTCCCAGTGGCAAATTAAGTTGGTTGTAAGTTTAATTTGGTTGAGTTATTTTAAGATGCAATGTTTTCATAATTGTCTTAGTGAGGTTAGTGAGGTACCCAGGAGTCGATCAGTCAGTTAAATAGCAACTAAGCCAAATTAATGAGTCAGTTGTTGGTTCACCAGGCCAGCCAATGAGTAAGCTCCAGAAGAATGGTTCTGGCCAATGGAAGAGCACAAGGCTGGTGTTGACATATTGTGCAACAGAAGTGGTTTGAGAAGTGTTTGTGTTTGTGTGTGAATTTTAAAAAAAAACCTTTTTTCCATATAAAAACTGGTCACAATAGGAATCCATGCAACCAACAAGAATTAAAGGTGCTCACAGCTGCCAGACGCACTGAAACACAAAACAACCACCTCTTTACAGCCGCCCCTCAAGTCAACATGTGTTGAGCATTTGATACTCCAAAGACAGATTTTTGAAAAGTAGAGTACCACTTTAACCAGTGACACCAGGTGGGAGCCAGTGAGTGGAGATGATTCACAAACACCACACAGTAGTATTTTTCACCACACAGTAGTGGTGAAGGAAGTCATCTTCTGTTCCCATTACTCCTGCAGGATTTTCCTCCTGGGTGTGCAGCAGCTGCAGTGGCAATGGAGCGAGCGGGATATTTGCAAGAAAGCAAGATTGCACACATCTGCACCACACACACAACTGTGGACATGCACATTACTGATAAAGTGAGTGTGTGTGTGTGTGTGTGTGTGTGTGTGTGTGTGTGGGGGGGGCAGTTTTGGCAGCTCTGCAGGGGAGATATCAGATAAAAGAGAAAGAGAAAGAAAGTACGTGCAACAACAGAGTGAGCGAGTGAAGGGCGATTAAACCTGGAAAACCCCGAACCTTCCTGCTCTTTTTGATGTATGGAACGTACAAAAATATTGTGGACATAGTGCATCTGAAACACACTCACAGACTGCAGAAAATCTCCTGTTCTCCTGGTTGTTTTCCATATGAGGGCCACCAGCAATGGCTAAAATATGGCTGCGGTTGTTGCCAGACAAGGGTGGGGTATCCTGTCGTTATGTTGGGCCCTCAGTTAGTCTAATGAATGGAGGCTTTTATCTTGAAACCGCACGTGAACTACAGTGGAGGAAAGAATGTCAGGTCGGGAATGAAGAGAGAGACCTTGGCTGCTTGTGGGCAGAGTTTTCCAAACACGCTCCTTTTTTTCATGGTGGTGAACACGCTGCACATGCTGAGGGTACAAAGAGATACACACACCAGCAAAGACATCAACATCTGCGGGTCACACAACAGCTAAACCAACATAGGCCGTATTCATCCAGACACGAGACAAAACAACGCCACCGACGATCCCAGTGCACACAAACATACACACACACACACACACACATACACAGATCTGAATAACAGTCTCTCAACGTTCACAGATATTTATCTGTCTCTTTGGGCAGGATCCAGCTTATCATATGGGTGCGCATTCACTGTCAATGTAATGTCCCTTTGGACTGTAAAATAACTGGGAATTCTCACTACCTGAACCACTGAGCATTGTTTGAATTCACTGAATAGAAACCTGAAACCTCATTATACCTGAACCATCAGCTATAGTACCAGGGGTTAAAACTGCATTTACTAAAGTACCTTAGTTTAGTTTTGAGTTGCTTGTACTTTACTTTATTATTTACAATAATAATAATAATAATAATAATAATAACTTAGATTTTTTTGGTGCCTTTCAAGTTACCCAAGGCCGCTTTACAGAGTAAGAACCACAAAGTAAAAAAATCAAACAAAGAAATGAAAACAAGATGAGACAGAATAAAGGTGGCAATGATTGGAGGAGATTGTAGGAGATTGTAGGAGATAAGTGAGCTAGAGGCCAGAGGCCTTGGTGAACAGGTGGGTTTTCAGCAGTTTTTTCAAAATGTCCCAGGATGAAGCTGTGCAGATCTCTGCCGGGAGAGAGTTCCCGTAATACTTGTGTCCCATTATGTTTCTGGTGGAAATACTATACTTTTTATTTCACAATATTCATTTGAAACTAATCAAATTATGCATAATTTTTTGATATGTAAAATCATAACACACCCTGAAGAAATTGTTATTGAATAATTCCACATTATTATGTCTTCACTGGAACAGAGTATTCTTGTTTATTTGGGGGAGCAAAGAGCAGCTGTGCTTATCACCAAATATGTCACTAAAGTCAACATAAAAAAAAAAACACTCACACAGAACAACTTGTGGATTGTCACTCCACATACATACACTAAATGCAAATGTGGT